CAGAAGGGTCTTCTGGTATTGTTTCATCAATAGTGGGGATTGGAATGGAAATTCTGTGAGAGGTTTGAGGCGGAGCAACAGATGTTGGAATAGTAGAGGAAATTGAAATAGGAGCAGCAGATGAATTACCTCGTTTCTTTGGAGTCTGGAGAGATGATCCTTCTGCTTTCCTCTTCTTTGACTTCTTCTGAGTCACTTCAGGTTGAACTTGACTCAGATCTTTGATCTTCAGCTTTGAACCTGCAACTTCTTCCTTGTGAGAATCTGGATACATGGCAAACACATCAGGATGGGATTCCATTTCAGAAAATCTTGGGAAATCACTCAGAGGCACTCTTCTTCTGGAGATGTCAGCAGTTAAAGAAGCTCTGGGTTCCTTCCTGATATTGTCTATCAGCTTCATCTTTTTCAGATTCTTAGCATTCAGCGGTTTTCCAACAGTTGGTTCAAAATTGCCCAGTACTTTAGCTTCGCTCAGATAATCTATCAGCTTATTCTCTGTCAGAATATCTGATATGAGCCTCCCAAATGGTATCCAGTCTCTTTTCGTCCTTTCTTCTTCTCTAGTCTCTTTCACACTAGTCTTCAGATGATTGAACAGGAAGTGTGCCAAATTGATCTTCACCCTCTGATTAATAAAGTAGATCAGAAATTGCTGATCCACGTTTATATAGTCAGGAGAGCTTGTGGGCTTCCTGTGATTGAAACAGCCTAGAACAATCTTGGCCCACACTCTGCAGTGATCCTTCAGATCCTTGATTTTGCTGCTGGGAAAGCCAAGAGTGAAAATACAGTTGGCTACCACACCAATATCAGGGCACCTATCAGCCATGTCCACACAACGGACTCCACCACCACTTTGGCCAATTAACCTAGCAATGAGGTCTTCAGAAATTATTATCTTCTTTCCCATGACAGAAGAGATGACTAGATGCTTATCAATCTTGGCATGAATCCAAAATTCTTTGACAAGCTCTGGGAAGGTTGGTCCAACCAATCTATCAAAGTACCTCTCCCACTTTTGAGCTTTGACTTCAGCAGTTAGGTCAAATCCATTATCCTTCAAACTTTCGAAATCGATGATTAATTCCGAGAGAACCTCAAGATTCTTAACCGGTGTGAGAAGAGTTCTGGTAGGCGCTTGATATTGCTCAGAGGTTTCCTTCTTCTGATTTCCTGCAGAGATGCTGGAGGATGCCATTGTTCTCACACAAAAAGCTTGAGAGTGATTTGAGAAAAGCTAGGGTTTTGAAGGAGATATGCAGAAAAATTCTTAAGAGATTATGAGTAAGCGTAAAGATTAAGAATGAAGAGTAATGTGCTTAAATAGAATTTTCAAAAAAATTATTTTGAAAAATAAAACGTTTTTAAGAGAGAGAAAAAAATAATGATTGCCATTAACAAGCGTGATTACTTTTGCATTTAATGCTTGCTGATTTTGGGGGATTTGAGAAAGATACTTAAAAACGGTTACCAGACATGTGTCTCAATGCACCCAATCAGCGCTTTGCCTTCTCAGAAACGTGCACGCGTTCTGCTTCAGGGATTTGCTGATGATTGGATGACACTTGTTTGATGTAGTGATCAGCACGTCTGTATTTGAGATTAGACTCTCAGATCTTTAGACTTGCCTCTGATACAATCTGCATGTTCTTACTTTCTGAAAGAAGATTGATCAGAAGTTCACAGTAATATAAATACATTCTGAAAGATAAAAATATGGAATTAAAGCATTTTCATTCTGGGCATACTTTCATGCTGAGATGTTTCAGAATGAAATTAAACCTATCTTCTGAAAGGGGTTTTGTAAAGATATCAGCCCATTGATGGTCTGTATCTATAAATTTCAAGTTTAAAATTCCTTTCTGAATATAGTCCCTAATGAAATGATGTTTTATTTCTATATGCTTAGCTTTAGAATGTAAAATAGGATTCTTACTTAAGCAAATAGCAGAAGTATTATCACAAAGAATAGGAATGTTACTCTCAAAAATCTGGAAGTCTTCAAGCTGACTTTTCATCCAGAGCATCTGTGTGCTACATCCAGCTGCTGCTATGTACTCAGCTTCTGCTGTTGACAGAGCAATAGTTGATTGCCTTTTGCTGGACCATGAGATCAGATTTTCTCCCAGAAACTGACAGCTTCCAGAAGTACTTTTTCGTTCCACTCTGTCTCCAGCAAAATCAGCGTCGCAGTAGCCTACTAAACTGTACTCACTAGATTTTCTATAAAACAAACCCAGATTAGTAGTACCTTTCAGATACTTGAAAATTCGCTTAACAGCTGTTAAGTGAGATTCTCTAGGATCTGATTGGAATCTAGCACAAATACATACGCTGAATAGAATATCAGGTCTTGAAGCAGTCAGATAAAGGAGAGAACCAATCATACCTCTGTAGACCTTCTGTTCTACGCTTTTGCTTACCTCTTCTCTTTCCAGAATGCACGTGGGATGCATTGGAATCTTTGATGGCTTACATTCTGAGAGGTCAAATTTCTTCAGAAGATCTCTGATGTATTTGCTCTGATGAATGTAAGTTCCCTCTGGAGTTTGATTGATCTGAATTCCTAAAAAGAACTTCAGTTCCCCCATGAGGCTCATCTCAAATTCTGCCTGCATACACTTAGCAAATTTTCTTCCAAGAGAAGGATTAGTAGAACCAAAGATTATATCATCAACATAAATTTGACAGACTAAAATGTCACTCTTAACTGTTTTACAGAATAGAGTGGTGTCCACTTTCCCTCTGGTGAACTCATTTTCAAGCAGAAAGTTACTTAGCCTTTCATACCAAGCTCTGGGAGCTTGTTTCAGACCATACAGTGACTTTTTCAGTTTGAAAACATGTTCTGGATGTTTTGTATTTTCAAAACCTGGGGGTTGGTGAACATACACTTCTTCTTCTATATAACCATTTAAGAATGCACTTTTGACATCCATCTGATACAGAGTGATGCCTCTGTTAACAGCAAATGAAATTAAAAGTCTGATAGATTCTAACCTGGCGACTGGGGCAAAGGTTTCTGTATAGTCTATCCCCTCTTGCTGACTATAACCTTGTGCAACCAGTCGTGCCTTGTTTCTGACGACTTCACCTTGTTCATTGAGCTTGTTTCTGAACACCCATCTTGTTCCAATGACGTTGAATCCTTTCGGTCTTGGAACGAGATCCCAAACGTCGTTTCTGGTGAATTGATTCAGCTCTTCTTGCATTGCCAGAATCCAGTCATTGTCCAGAAGTGCTTCATCAATAGAAGAAGGTTCAATCAGAGACACAAGTCCCATCAGAGTTTCTTCAGAGTTTCTGAAGCTTGCTCTTGTTCTGATTGGATCTTCCTTTCTTCCTAGGATAGTCTCTTCTGGGTGATCCAAACTACTTCTGGGTAATCTCTTCTGAGGTTGATCAGCAGCAGTTGTAGGATTCTTAGCGTTGCTTCTTTCAGACGTTGAAGGAATGTCTGTGTTGAGAGCTTCTGATGACTTGTCTTCAGAACCTGCAAATTCAATTTCTATACCTGCAAGATTTTCATTCTGCTTTGACTTTTCAGAGTCAAGCTTGTCATCAAAACGAACACTGATTGATTCTTCCACAATCTGTGTTTCTGTATTGTATACTCTGTACCCTCTTGAGCGTTCAGAGTATCCTAACATAATACACTTCTGTGCCTTAGAATCAAACTTGTTCAAATAATTCTTAGTGTTTAACATATAGCAAGTACATCCAAATGGATGAAAATACGAAATGTTGGGCTTTCTGTTCTTCCACAATTCATATGGAGTCTTTTCCAGAATAGGTCTTATTGAGATTCTATTCTGAATGTAGCACGCTGTGTTTATTGCCTCTGCCCAGAAAGTCTTAGCAACGTTTGTCTCGTTGATCATGGTTCTGGCCATTTCTTGCAATGTTCTGTTCTTTCGTTCTACAACTCCATTTTGTTGGGGAGTTCTAGGACAAGAGAAATCATGCAGAATGCCTTTGTCATTAAAGAATGACTCAAAATCTTTATTTTCAAATTCTCCACCATGATCACTTCTGACTTTAACGATTCTAAGATCTTTTTCATTCTGAACTTGGTTACAGAAGGTAACAAACACAGAGTGTGACTCGTCCTTGTGTCTTAAGAACTTTACCCATGTCCATCTGCTATAGTCATCTACGATTACTAACCCATACTTCTTGCCACTGACAGAAGCAGTTTTAACTGGTCCAAATAAGTCAATGTGCAGAAGTTCTAATGGCTTAGAGGTAGAAACAACATTTTTGGATTTAAAAGAGGGTTTTGCAAATTTGCCTTTCTGACATGCTTCACACAGAGCATCTGAATTGAACTTCAAATTTGGAAGTCCTCTGACCAGATTGAGTTTGTTAATCTGAGATATTCTTCTCATACTAACATGTCCCAATCTTCTGTGCCAGATCCATTGCTCGTTGTTAACAGACAGAAGACATTTTACGTTCTGACTCTTAAGTTCAGAAAGTTTGATTTTGTAAATGTTGTTTTTCCTCTTACACTACAAGAAAATTAGTGTTTAACGACACAAAAATTGCGACAGTTATGTGATAACTGTCGTAATTGACATATAGAGACAGTGTTTACGACAGTTGACACCAACCGTCCCTAAAATTTATTTTGTGACGGTATATTTAACCATCATAATATTATTATTACGACGGTAAAACAACCGTCGGCCCCCATTTAACACTTTTAACATTGATTTTTCACCAACAATTAGTCACGACGGTAAAATTAACCGTCCTAAAAGGCATATCACGACGGTAAAGCACCCGTCGCACCCTTAAACCTTTCACGACGGTAAAATTATCCGTCCTAAAATTCATTTCACGACGGTAAAACAACCGTCGCACCCAAAACCTTTAAAAATCTCTTGCTAACTTATATATTTTATCTAATTATAATTGTTATGTATATTTAAGTTCTCTCTTGTTAAGGTTAAGTTTATGCATTATTATATATTCTATGAAGTTGATACATTCTAATGTCCTCATGCGTCACTATTCTTCGAACATCTCTCATCTTCCAACTTCGAACATCTCTCATCTTCCAACCGGTAAGTTTTCTATAACACATTTTCTTTGTTCTCATCTTCACATATCTCTCTCATTCTTTAACATTGATTTCACCATTGGAGATTCACATGAATCTTAGGGTTGAGCTCTTTGTGATTCAAACATCACAACAAGCATTCATATCGACATTAAACCCAATCACCAACAATAAACCCTAAAACCCCAATTTATTCACGATTCAATGAGCAATACAAGTTACAAGCATGGTGGGTTTATTTATTATGTCAATGTTGTTAGTACCATTACTTACCTGAAGCTAATTTTAGCAATTCTAATTCATCCAGGTGCTTTTTGTTTCACCCGAGCGGTTTTTGAATAAGGAGTTTCTGTCTGCTATCTCTGCTGGGTCAGCTGTCTCACTCGTTGTTATTGACGAAGCACATTGTATATCTGAATGGTGAGGGATTTCAGTGCCGCATTGTCTAAGCAAATTCTTCCAAATCATGTTGTTAATTTGGAGATCTCACTTTGTATGCATCTACTTCCATGTTGATATTTAGATTTTGAGATTTTTTTACAGGTCTCACAATTTCCGACCTTCATTCATGAGACTTAGAGCATCACTACTTCATAGAAGTCTTAATGTAGGTTTTGTTCTCGCAATGACAGCAACTGCTACGACCACAACCTTAGATGCCATCATGTCTGCCCTAGATATTCCTTTTACAAATCTTATTCAGAATGCACACTTAAGGGACAATTTGCGTTTGTCGGCGTCTTTGATAAAAAATAGGCAAGTCAGATGCTTCTATTTTACCGCTTCTGACTGTACTCCCTTTAACTTTCCTTCTCTGATTTTGTTAAACGTATGCATCAATGATAGAATGAAAGACCTACTGGTTCTGATAAAGTCTCCTCCTTTTGCGGATGTTAAAGGCATCATAGTATACTGCAAATTTCAGGTGTGTATATGGACTTCATTTTCCAAATTTTCTGGTACTTGATTTCAGAGTTATGTTGTTTTATATAGTCATCTGCATTATACAACAACAACAACCACAGTATTTGAAATGTACAACCTTGTTTGCAAAGTAAAAGTTATTAAGTTCTTTATGTTTCAGGTTTAGTATGTGTCTAATTACTTAAGTTTGCAAGTAATGTTATTTTGCAGTGGATATCATATTATCATATATATTTATATATGCGATAATTGATTTTTTTTTTTTATTCAGTCTGAAACTGATCAAATTAGCAGATACTTGAATGATAACAATATCTCGGCAAAGGTAAGCTCCACATTTCACTTTTTGACATTGCATGGCATTCTGTGTAAGTGTAACCCACGTCACTGTATGTGAAATCTGACAATTGATTTGAATCATCATTTAGAGTTATCATAGTGGTATTTTTGCAAAGGAACGTGGCAACGTACAGGAGTTGTTTGCTTCAAACAAGATCAGAGTGGTTAGATTTATTTTATTGTTTTAATCACTCAATTTATCAATTTTATGGTGCAATGCTTCTAATACAACATTGCTAGTCCAACTCATACCTTGCAATTTTTTTTATGAAGGTTGTTGCAACTGTGGCATTTGGTATGGGACTAGATAAAAGAGATGTTGGAGCAGTAAGTCTTATATTATATTTTATTTTTGCATTAGTTTGCATGATGACCCACTTTTCTCATTGTGCTCTTGTTGCAAGGTGACCCGCTTTCTCTGTGTCTATGTTTTAGACCTTTGTTATCTAGCTGTATCAGAAACAATCGAGTTTTTTCTCAAAAGTTATTTATTGTTAGAAATTTCAAATTGCAAAATGGGGGTAAATGGTAATGGAGAACTGAGCTCTTTACTTCGTCTCTGTTAATGCAAATGTTCTGATAGCCACATTTTACGTAAGGCTGTTTTTCTTAGAACCACTCTGCAATCTGTAGTCACTTTTATCTTTGTTTTTCACACTACCTCATTTGCTTTGAAATGTGAATGGTCTTGTGTGTTACAATAATTCTTATTGAAACTCCATTGTCATAACTGTGTTTAGGTAATTCATTACAGTTTACCTGGAAGTCTGGAAGAGTATGTACAGGTATATGATGTCTTCTAAATTCTAAATTCTGATAAATAGTTTTGCATAGATTGATTAAGGGAGCAGAGAAATGATTTGAGTTGGAATTCAAACTTGAGCAGTAAACCTGAATGACAGGTCTGTGTTAACAAGGTTATAGGTTCTGAGTGTTCATAATCTTGTGACTGAGTGTTTAATTCCATTTGATCTTTGTCACTGAGTGTTTATAATCTTGCTGGGTATATCCCTACTTTGTGAGGTAAGTGAATTATTTAGTTAGGTGTCCAATGAGTTCAGTTTAGTTCCTCTATTTGTTTTGAAGTTTTTCTGTTGAATAGTTTATGTATAGGTTGCTATCTATTAGTTTATTGTTAATTAAAAATGTCAAATCAAGTCTTTGGCATGGCAAAGTCATGTGTATTCGAAGGCATGGATAAGTTATATCTAATTACAGTGTAACGACTAGCTTACTACATTGTCATAGTGTATTATAGATAGGAATATGATGTCTCTTGATTACTATTCACTAGAAACGCCTTTGTGAACCTATTTTGTTGTTGGAGAGAACAGAACATACACGATCTTATAGGAATATGTTGGAGCCACCGAACTCAGCACTGCTACGTCGCTTCTTCAACAGCTTTTTGTCGAATTTCAGCTTAAATGGCTGGCAGAGGATATGGACGAGGACGAGGACGCGGCGGATTTCAAAATTATGCACGACCAGAGCCATTTGTACTTTTTCCCGAGGTAACATATTGTGCATCTTTTCCGAGTATGTATTTTTAAAATTTCTGATTTAGTTTTAGAATTTGTAATAAAAACTTAAATTATTTGAAATTTGACAACTTTTAAGCAAAAGTATAATAATGAGAGGTGAATTCCTCTGATATTTGTCTAAATTTAGCATGCCTTTAGATGATGAGACTTATCGGACCTTATGGTAAGTCATGTAGAGCAGATTTTGACTTCTTTTCTAACCGCCAAAAAGAACCACGATTTTTTCCATCATCCATGGCTTCAAGGAGAAGTTCTGGGAGATGGATTCGTGTGATCTCAGCATTCGCGGTTGTTCCGTCTGGTGTTTTTGGCAAACACCCTGGCGGAATGAGTGTAGCCTGTGCCGGCGTCATCGCCGGTGGAATAAATCATCAATGAGAGGTTTGTTATATTGGTAATATTCTTGTTCATTTAGTATTGTTAGATAATGATAGAGTTAGTTAGATGAACTAACATAATCAGTTTCTCTTATAAGATACAAGTTCAGATCTGTTTAGTATCTTTTGTCACTTCAAAACTATCATAGAAGTGAATCTGTTTAGTATCTTAGCCTTATACTTACCCCCAATGGCAACAATTAAATCCTAGAACCATTCTATCAACCCATAACTTATTGTTTCCTTCACTATGGTTTCCTGCTCTTGAAAAGATTCATTTTTTGTTTCTTGAATTTGCAGATTAGGATAAGAAAGTAATACTTCTACTTTCCCCTCTAACTAGACTTTGTTGCTTTTCATTAAGGGAATACTAAGCAGTTTCTTGACAGGAGAAGGTGATTGAATGGCAAAAGTTTGTTGGCCATACTTTGATCCTGAGTATGAGAACTTCAGCAACAGAATTAACCCTCCAAGGTTCACAGTTAACTTCCTTTCAAATACAATACTTGTTTTCTTTTCCAATGATCCTGCAAAAAGTTTAAAATCTAAAAAAATGCACTGATTTTTTTTAATAAATAATAATATGACGATTTTTAGTATTGGCATTTATGGATACTGATATATATTGTCATACTTTTCAGTGTCATTTGACTGCTTTAACATAATCTTAAAGGTCAAAAGGCGAAAGAACTGCACAACATAAATCTAAAAGCTTCTTTTAGTTCATAATGACTAGCTCTTGTTTTGTCAAAAAAAAAAAAAACTAGTCCTTTGTTACAAGGTAGATGCTATCAGTTCAATCCCTAGTGGTGTCATAGGTTAAACTCCTTGTGGATTTGAGGAATATGGTGGCAATTTTTAATATCTAGAAGAAGTTGCTCGTTTTAGTGAACTCTGTTTCCACTTCGCAGGGTCTCTATGGACAATGATAGTTGCCATGATTGTACATTGATCAAGGTATAATTCCTCAAAATAACTAATTAATTCTAATATTTTTCATGGCCTCATTCTGAGTCTTAATTTGCCAGCTGAAGGGAACCTAGCCATTGGATTTTTAAGTCATTTGTACCTTTTGGCTTTTTGTGGACCAACAAGAGAGAAAAAACATGTAACATTTTTTTTATACCTAACCTAACTTCTTTGAATTAAACTTACTGGCCTTCAGTCAATTCTGATACGCTGTCTGGATTTCCTATGATTAGTTTACTTTTGCAGAAACATACCTTAAGCAACATTTTCTTTACTAAAAACTAGTTGAAATTTGAAAATTCAAACTGAAAGCTTGTTGAGAAGATAGAACTTCTGTTAAAACCTCTTTCAGTGAATTGCTAAATAATTTCTTCATTTCCTAGTAAATTAGGCAGCACATCAGGCTACATCAAGTGGCCATCATCATTAGATCATTTAGTTTCCATGGTATTCACATGGAGATAAGTTGATGCAATATATAATGGATTCATTTTACAATAATGCAGATTGATAGTGTCAATAAACCAGGAATTCTGCTGGAAGTCGTACAAATCCTAACAGACCTTGACTTCATAATCACCAAAGCTTACATATCTTCTGATGGTGGATGGTTTATGGATGGTACGTCTGCAATTGAATTCAAACTTGAACAGAAAATGCATTGACTTATACTACATAGATGTCTCGTTCATGCTTGTTATTTATTATTTACTTAATTATAATCTGGTAATTATTTATTGCAAATGTAAATTTTGGTTGCAATCAACATGATCTTCAATTTTAGGGAGTTATGCCAGATGGTAATACTGTGGCTGTTAAAAGGCTTAGTTTTAACTCGACGCAATGGGTGGATCATTTCTTCAATGAGGTTAATTTGATTAGTGGAGTTCATCACAAAAATGATGAGAGAAGAAAGAATACTTACACGTCGGAGTCACTCCGCCAACGCTTCAATCGTGATTCAGGTATGCATTCTTAATTCCTCATTCTTCTATTATTTCCGATTCACACGTATTTTCTATTGATTCGGTACAATTCAATTATTGAAGTTTGTTGTTGTGATTGGTGTTGAAATAGAGGGAATGCTTCAAGCTTGAAGTCGCGATGATGCCATTGATGATGAAGGTTGACGAAGCTGTGTAGAATATTGTAGAGAGGTTGTGTATAGTTGGCTATTAGGATGGGATGGCTTTAGATTTGAATGAAACTGAGAGTTAGTTGCTGATTGTAATTTGAGTTAGCTAATTGTTAGTGTGAAAAAGAGTTAAAATCGTCAATATTATTAGGGCCTGACTGTTAGGAATATCAATTGAAATGGATAACTGTTAGCTTAAAGTTGTTAGAAATTGTTATGTGAGGGATTAGGTTTGTGAAGTGGATATTTAAATTGACTTGAATCTATGTGATTGACTGAATCTATGTAATTTTGTAGAATATTGTAACATTTTTTGTAATTCTCTCAAGTTGTAGCAAACCAATGTAAATATTAAAATGAAATTTGGCCTTTGATGATATTTGAATTTTTCTTGTTTATTGGTAAAATTTGCACTTCTTTTTACCTTTGATCACATTTTTTTGATATTATTGATGATTATTTGATATTAAATGTTTTTATTGTAATTAACTTTATTATGTTGAAAAGTGATAGAAAATAAAATAAAAATACTATAAATAAAAAAATATTAAAGTAAATAATAATTTAAATATAATAGTAAAATATTATAGTAAAATAATATTATATTTAAAATTATTTTACTAAATAATAATTTAAATAAAAATATTATTTGAAATTTATAAATCAGATTACGACGGTTAAAACCGCCGCAATTTCTAACCTACGACGGTAGAGTAACCGTCGCAAACAACAACAAAAACAAAAAATAAAGTCAAATTCACGACGGTATATAACCGTCGCTATCTGTTGTGCGTGACAGTTTTTGCAACCGTCGCGAAATAGGCTGGGGACGCACGATTCTGCGACGGTACTTCTACCGTCGTAGATTGTAAATTGCGACGGTTTTAACCGTCGTAATCAGCCAAAATAACCGTCCCAATCTATCATTTTTCTTGTAGTGTTACCATTAAATAGGATAGTCCCATCTTTCTGACTAACAGCTTTACATGATTTTTGATTAAAGATTATATCATAACCGTTATCACTTAATTGACTTATGGATAACAGGTTATGCATCAATCCATCAACAAGCAGAACATTATTAATAGAGGGAAGATTTCCGTTACCTACAGTTCCAGAGCCAATTATCTTTCCCCTCTGATTGCCTCCAAAACCAACGTGGCCTCCAGGCTTAAGTTCCAGGCTTTGGAACATATGCCTTCTTCCCGTCATGTGACGTGAGCAGCCAGAGTCCAGGTACCATGACTGGTGTTTCTGACTTGCTGCTAAAGATATCTGCAACATGTATTATTTTATCCTTAGGTACCCAGATCTTCTTGGGTCCTGATTTGTTAGTTTTACCAAAACTCTGGTTGAATTTTGGTTTCACAAAGTGATTACTACTAGTATATTTGATGTCATGTGTGTGACCATACACAAAGTGTGAATTTAGAGGAGTGTATTTAATTGTTAAATCCATGACATTTTTAGGTGTAGGAACCTTACCTAGGTATCCTATTCCTTTCCTGCCGTTTCTGCTAACTCCATAGATCATTGAAGCCATTCTGCTTCTATCTATGCTTTTAGCAAGGAACTTCTGGAAACTATGATCATACTCCTTGATGATCTCATCAGCGTTGCTGGGAGTTTCAGCAATTGGTTCCTTCTGAGAGTTTTGTAAAGAGTTTTCTAATTTTAAAATTTTGTCTCTCAGCTCAGAGTTTTCCAATTTGAGACTCTCAGACTTATTAGAGTCAGATTCAAGAGTTCTTTTCAGATCTCTGAATTTAGCTCTAATCTGCTGATAACGTTCCAGAATTTCATTGAGGCTTTCAGCAAGTTCAGCCTTTGTAAAATTAACAGCGAAGTTAGGAAATACCTCTTCTGTGTCTGATTCTGAGTCTGAGTCAGAAGCTTCACTGTCATCTGGAATGTTAGCCATAAGCGCTATGTTCGCCCTTTCATCATCTGATTCTGAGTCAGCTTCAGACGAGTCAGAGTCATCCCATGTGGCCATGAGACTTTTCTTCTTCTCTCTTCCAAACCTCTTTTTGGGCTTTTCCCTCTGAAGCTTTGGACAGTCACTCTTGTAGTGTCCTTGCTCATTGCACTCGTAGCAGATGATATCTTTTGTATTTGGCTTCTTGCTACCTGAGGAGCCTTCTGATCTTCTGTATCCAGAGGAAGAATCTGTCCTTCTGTATCTGGAAGAAGACTCGTTCTGATCAGATCTTCTGGGATTCCTGAACTTCCTTTGTCTTTGCTTCCACAGTTGATTTACTCTTCTGGAGAGAAGAGAAAGCTCGTCTTCTTCTGATGAGGATCCATCAGATGTTTCTTCAACTGCCTGCAAAACTTTAGATTCAGATTTTCTGTTAGATTTTAAAGCTATAGGCTTACCTTGCTTCTGAGGCTCGTCAGCTTCCAGCTCTATCTCATGACTTCTGAGGGAGCTTATAAGTTCCTCCAGAGTGATTTTGTTGAGATCTTTCGCCAGCTTCAGAGCAGTAACCATAGGCCTCCACTGCTTGGGTAAACTTCTGATTATCTTCTTGACATGGTCAGCAGTAGAGTACCCCTTGTCCAGAACTTTGAGACCAGCTACCAGAATCTGGAATCTGGAGAACATAGTTTCAATGGATTCAGATTCTTCCATTTTAAACGCCTCATACTTCTGAATGAGCGCCAGAGCCTTTGTTTCCTTGACTTGGACGTTGCCCTCATGCGTCATTCTGAGAGAATCAAAGATGTTCTTAGCTGTGTCTCTGTTGGAGATCTTCTCATACTCAGTATAGGAGATAGCACTGAGGAGGATGGTTCTGGCCTTATGGTGATTCTTGAAATCACGCTTTTGTTGATCAGTCATTGATTTTCTATCAATCTTCTGACCAGTTGCATTAACAGGGTGCGTGTATCCATCTGTCACCATATCCCACAGATCAGCATCATGTGCTAGAAAGAAGCTTTCAATTCTGTCTTTCCAGTAGTCAAAGTTTTCTCCATCAAAGACTGGAGGTTTGCCGCTGAATCTGTCTCTATCCTCATTGTTGTCATTGCTGAAATGAGAGTTGTTTCCTGCCATAGTGTTTTTCTGACGCTGGATCTTTTACTGACACGGTTAAGTGTTTTAGCTCAGAACCAGGCGCTCTGATGCCAATTGAAGGGGTGAAAAACACAAGAAGGGGGGGTTGAATTGTAAAACTGGAAACTTAAAGCAAATGACAAGGTATTTTTATCCTGGTTCGTTTGATCTCAAACTACTCCAGTCCACCCGTTCAAGGTGATTTCGCCTCTCTCCAACGAGGTCTTAATTCAA